CTTCAGCAGATTTGACTGCCAACCGGAAGGACATTGACTTTTGGGTCATGTCTAAATCCTGTAAGGGAAGCAGAAGATACAAAGGGGAGGAAATGGCAGTGGAACCCTCCTTACAGCAAGGAATGGGAGGCTGGACCCAGAGCACAGGGAGGGAGGGCCTGGGAGGGGAAAGGGACAGTCCCTCAGATATTGCAAAGTGGAAGAGAGTTCATGCAGTGGTGTACTGGTGAATGTTTAACAACCAAATCTAGGGCCAGGGGGTGGGGTGGGGAGCTCTTTATAGTGTTTATGATAATGGGATAAGTACTCTCCATGGCCAGTTTGAGCCTACCAACCTGACTTCACTAATGCAGGGGTGGGTGGAGATTTTCATAACTCTCACTAGCTAGTCCAAGTCAACTAGGGTCCAGAACCCTGTAATGGTGCCCATATGAAGGGACAGGGCGCAGCTGATAGGGTCCTGAGTGAAGGTAGGCCCAGGCAGCTGGATGTTCCAATTCTTTTCTCACCTGATAGCATGTCCTCATTCATTCATTACTCCTCTCTCAAACAGTCTCTCAGTCTCGTTTTGTAGCTTGGCCTCGTCTCTCTCATCATTCCCTTCTGCTCTGTGCTGGCTGCTGGCTCAGTGTAGATGAGAAGACATCTTTAGGAGCTTGTGGACAAACGGGGAAAATTTCTTCTCCAGACTTTCAACTTGGTGCCCAGAAATCCAGTGGGGTGACACCTGCTCCCTGATACCAGCACCAGCTAGTGAGGCAGAGGCAAAGGGAGGTGCCAGGCAGCTTCTTGAACACTGGGAGGGCAGCAGGGACAACAAGCGCATTCCCGGCAAAAGAAGGGCAGTTTGGGGCAAAGCTGGTGAGGTGCTTTAGTATGACTGGGCTCAGGTGCCAAAGGGTGTGGTTTGGGAGCAAATGAAGCTGAAGAGGAAGCAGGGCCCAGACCCCAATTGGCTTTGCAGATCCAAAGAGAAGTTCAGGGCTGGGATTGTGGCTCAGCGGTAGAGCGCTCACCTAGCATGGTCGGGACCCGGGTTTGATCCTCAGCACCACATAAAAATAAAGGCATTGTGTTGTGTCCAAAGAGAAGTTCAACTGCATGCCAAGATGACCAGGAGCCACTGAAGGCTTTAGAACAGAGGAATGATATGGTCAGATCTGCATTTCAGGAAGATCACACTGGCCTGGAGGAGGTCTAGGTTGTGGGTGGAGATGAGCTGGTAGGGAGGCTGCAGCCAGGTTGGAGGGTGATTAATGGTGGCCCAGGCTGCAGAAACAGTGTGGAGAGGAAGAAAAATTCAGCTGTTTTTTTTTTTTTTTTTTTTTTTTTTTGGGCTTGGCTTGGGGGGGGCTGGGGGTACTTGGAATTTAACCTAGGGTGCTTTTTCACATTTCTAGCCTTATTTATTTATTTATTTTTATTCTGAGACAGGGTCTCACTAATTTGCTTAGGGCCTCACTAAATTGCTGGGGCCGGTCTCAAACTTGTGATCCTTCTGCCTCAGCTTCCTGAGTGGCTGGGATTACAGTTGTGGTGGCCCACAACTGTAGAAAATCTTGGAAGTATATACTATTTTTCTTTATTTTTTGGTACCAGAGATTGATCACAGGTGCACTTAAACACTGAGCCACATCCCCAGTACTTTTAAAAAAAAATATTTATTTTGAGAAAGGGTCTCACTAAGTTGCTTAAGACCTTGCTAAGTTGCTGGGGCTGGCTTTAAACTTGTGACCCACTTGCCTCAGTCTCTTGAGCTGCTGGGATTATAGTTGTGCACCACCACACCCAGCTCTGGTATATATTGTTATTGTTTTCACATTAGAGGCTCAGAGAGATTGAGGGACATGGTGACACAGTGTAAAAATGACAAGAGCGAACTTAAGAGCAATTCCTTTTTTAAAAAAATAATTTTTAAAATATTTATTTTTTAAGTTTTAGTGGAAACAATCTTTATTTTATATTTTTGTGGTGCTGAAGATCAAACCCAGTGCCCCGTGCATGCCAGGCAAGTACTCTACCACTGAGCCACAACTCCAGCCCCCTGGGGCAATTCCTTTTACCCTCTTGCTGATAAGATGAGTGGTGAGACTAAAAGAAGCTGAGTAGGGGCTAGTGAAGAGGAATTTAGTTTGGACATGATGTTGGGAGAGTCTTAGTGACAATCAAGCAGAGATGTCCCCTGCAGAGAGAGAGACATTCTTTCAGGGCCTGTTGCTCCAGGGAGAGGCCATACTGGTAGTAGGGATTTGGGGATCAAGAACACAACAAAGGGGTCTAAGGTTGTAGCTCAGTGGTAGTGCACTTGCCTAGCACGTGTGAGGCACTGGGTTTAATTCTCAGCACCACATATAAATAAATAAATAAAAGTCCATTAACAACTAAAAAAAACCAAAAAAACCCACAGCAAAGTGCTGGAAGCTATGGGCCTAGATAGGCTGGGCCAGGGAGCATATAGAAAGTGAGGAGGGAAAGGAGCCCTGAGGAGCCCCAACTTAGGGAGCTGAGACAAAGCAGCTAAGGGAGCAGCCTAGGTAGGGGAGAAGCGGTTGAGAAAGGCAGGGGCCTCAGCACAGGGAAGGGAGGCCTCAACAATATAGGGGTATTGGGGTGGGGGACATGGGCAGGCTGCATGTTGCAGAGGTTGGGTTGAGAACAGCTCATTAGATCCAGAGAACAGGGCCCATTACTCAGGCCTTGCTAGAGCAATTCTCATGGAGCACAGGGCAGGAGCTGGAAGGACAGAGTAAGGACCAAGAAGAAAGAACAAGTTGGGATTCTCGTTTCCAAAGCTTTGCTGTAAAATCCAGGGGGAGAGCAAGCAAAAGTGTTGCGGGCTTAGTGTTGAGAAAGAACTTCCTTTAGCACATCCTAAAATTGTCCATTTACAACCATGACTTCAGTCAATTCCTAGAGCTTCAGGAACTGAGTCCTACAGAGAACTTACAAAGCATAGCAAAACTTTAGCTATGCAGGGCTGCAGGTGCAATTCAGAGGTAGAGTTCATGTCTAGCATGCATGTGGCCCTGGGCTCCAGCATGAAGGAAAAAAATTATGGTTCTTAGCTACTCAGGAGTCTAAGTGGGAGAATCACAAGTTCAAAGCCAGCTTAGGACAATTAGACCCTGCCTCAAAGTAAAATGGGCTGGGGAGATGGCTCAGTGGTAGAGGTAAAGCACTGCTTAGTATGTCCAAGGTCCTGGGTTTAATCCCCAGTACCACAAAAGGAAAAGAAGAAACAAAGAAAGAAAGAAACTTCAGCTATCCAGAATTCTTGGCTAATGAATCACTCTGGAAAATCAACCTTTATTTGAACAAAAATACTTGAGGGGCATGTGTGAGGCACTGGTCGATTCTCAGTACCACATATAAATAAATAAAATAAAGGTCCATTGACAACTAAAAGAAAAATTTTTAAAAAATACTCAAGGACTGGGGTTGTGGCTCAGTAGTAGAGTGCTTGCCTCACATGTGTGAGGCACTGGATTTGATTCTCAGCATCACATATAAATAAATGAATAAAATAAAGGATCATCAATAACTAAAGAAATATTAAAATACTCAAACTATAGGGTTTCCTTACCTTCTAAAAAATTTTTTTTAATCAATCACAGAAATAGTCAAAGAAAGTAGGCTCGGGGTGTAGTTCAGTGATAAAGTGAGTGCTTAGCATTTGTGAGGGCCTGCCTAGGTTCCATCACCAGCACCACAAAAAGAAATAGAAAGTAGACAGAACAGTATAATAAACCTCAAATTCCTATCATTTAGCTTCAACAGTTATCAACTCAAGGTCAATTTTTTCTTGTCTACACTTCACTTGCTCTTCTCAGACTCTGTAATATCAATCCCAGACATTATATGAATCTATTCATAAATCTTTAGAATGTTTCTCCAAAGGATAAAATACATTTTTTTTTTTTAAGTAGTAGGGACTGAATCCAGGGTCTCATGAATGCTAAGCGAGTGTTCTACCACTGAGCTAAGCTCCAGCCCTTTTCATTTTTTTTTTTTTTTTTAAATATTGAAACAGGGTCTAAGTTGCCCAGGCTGACTCTCTAGCCCTCTTTTTGCCTCAGCCTCCCAAGAAGCTGAGATGATAGGTATGCACCACAGAGCCTGGCTGAGACAAAAGATATTTTAAAAATATAAGCACAGCCCACACAGTGGTGCATGCCTATAATCTCAGCAACTCAGGAGGCTGGGGTAGGAGGATCCCAAGTTCAAAGCCAGCAACTTAGTGAGGCCCTGTCTCAAAATAAAAAGGGTTGGAGATATGGCTCAGTATTTAAGCACCCCTTGGTTCAATCCCCAGTAACAACAACAACAACAAAATACCATATTATTCCAAAATTTAATGATAATCGCATAACATAATCAAATGTCCATTGTCCAGTTTACCCAATTGTCTTATTTTTTTTCCAGTTGGTGGATTAAGATCAGGCTTCAAACAAGGTGTATCTATACACTGCATTTATTTGCTTAGTCTCTTAAGCATCCCTTTCTTTTTCCAGGCACCAGGGTGCAGGGCAGGGTAAGCTTTTGGGCTGAAGAGTGCAGGGAGGTGGATAGATGGTCAGAGTCAGGACATCCATGTGCGATTACAGAGATAGGGTACAGAGGATGGTCTCTCCAACAGGGAGGAGAGGCCAGGGCTGCTGAAAGGTGGGGCTTGTCTTTGTGCATCCCTGAGCAACCCCTTCCACCAGCTGCTGGGGCTAAAGGAAGGTGAAAATACGTCCCAAGCTGAGAAGCAGGGACAGGGCTCAGGTTGGCAGGGGTCAGCTGCCCTTTCCACAGGCTGGAGGTGAGGGAGGGCTGGGGCCTGAGATCAGGCCTAGAAGGAACAGGATGTCTCTGTTGGGGAGGGAGGAAGAAGACAGCGCCCAAACCCAGGTCCTGGCCAGTCCCCAGCTCCACCCTACCTGGCCTTGGCCCAGGAGGGCCTCCCTGGCCTCCTAGCTATCATCCACCCTGGCACCCGGACACTGGCTCCCTTCACGATGCTGAGGGTCCATGGTCCAGATCGTTTGCTCTGCCTTCTATTCCTGCTCCTGGCCCCCCACAGCGCTGAGGGGGACCGTCTTCCTTGGCGCAGGTTTGAGTACAAGCTCAGCTTCAAAGGCCCAAGGCTGGCATTGCCTGGGGCTGGAATACCCTTCTGGAGCCATCACGGAGGTGAGGGGAAGAGGTGGGGAGCAGCCACACCCGGGGTCCCTCAGAGGGCTGGAGCTGGGACTAGATGGGGAGGGTCTGCCAATGCCTCTGTCTAGGGTAGGGCCTGGCTGGTGTAGACAGCGCTGGGGTCCCAGGACCACTCCCAGGCTGGTTTCCTGCTCTGCCCACTATAATTCCATTCCTACCCAGCAGCCTCAGTTTCTCCTCTCTGCCTTCCCTACCCTGGGACCACTCTCTGCTTTGTCTCTCCTTAGATCCCTCATCTTCCTTTGCCTCTCGGAAGGACGGTAAACACACATGAACTCTCTCTCCTCTCTCCCTCTCCCTCTTCCTCTCCCTCTCCCTCTCCCTCTCCCTTCTCTCTCCCTCTTCTCTCTCTCCCTCTCCCTCTTCCTCTCCCTCTTCCTCTCCCTCTCCTTCTCCCTCTCACACACACATACACACACTCTAAGTCCCAGACACACAGAAACAAATTACCTTGGACCAGCACAAGCTTACAGTCTAGGATTCATCTTGGTGGGTCATGGCTGTCCACAAGAACAGGGAGGCTACCTGGAGGGAGGCATCTTCATGTCCAGCTGTTTTGCCACAGCAGGCACCAGCCCTTCCTTGTATGTGTGTTGGGGATAGAATCAAACCTGAAAGCATCTTACTCTACAGGTCTGTATATAAGGCCCTCCAAACCCAGAACTGTTACAAAGAATCTATCTTCTACCTGATTTTGTTCTCAAAAAAGTTTGTGATGACTAAGAATTATAAAATACAAAGGAGCTTAATTTAGGAATAAGTAAGAAAGACACCTGCAATGAAAATGGGGCAGGAAATAAGTCCAGGAATGTGGCTTTCTTCCAAAACATATGCCATGAGATTTGTTTAACCATTGATTTAGTTCAGAGCTTCCTGGCAGGCAAAGCAAGGAGAGCAAGCAGATGGCCTCTGTATTACTATCTATGAGATGTAAGTTTTGGAAAATGGCCCACTTGCTGACTGAGGCCCTTAAAGACAATAAAACCTGCTAGTAGGGTCTTTGTTCTAATCTTCTCACAGAGGAACGGGAGGTAAACATATGAGTGGGCTCTTTCTCTCAGCACCAAGCCAGGCTCTGCCTCAGGGTCAGGATGTCAGGGCAGGTACAATGCTCATTGTTCTGGGCCTTGCCAAGTGTCACAGACTGTGTAGGGTAGCAGAGGCCCATTTTATGAAATTACCCAGTGATATACTTGTGGCTTCTTCATTCATTCATTCACCTTTTATGGAACCCCCACTCCCATGCTCCTCTGTGTCCAGGCCGGTCAGGCTCAAGGAGCCCATGGTCTATGGCAAGGTCCACAGACACTCCACAGAAGGCTGAGCATGTAAATGTAGCAGTTAGCAGACAACCCTGGTCTCCTGCAAGTCACTTCAAGGTGGCAGCAGCTTCCAGGGGCCCTGGGACTTGCAGCCTTGCTGTGTCTGAGCCTCCCTGCCCCCATCCCTGGCCATTGCAGAGCAAACAGGCTGGATTAGCAGCCTTTGGAAAGTCCTGGCAGGGTCTGGGCCCTGGGCCAGGTTCCAGGCTGGCAGGCCGGAGGGCTGGGGAGCCAGCTGGAGTGGGGACTCTGACTTCCCTTCCCCTGGTTCTTACCAAGTCTCTCAGTGTCTCTCCTTTTTCTGCTCTCCTACTATGTAGGTCCCCACCAACACCAGGGATGGTTCTCACACTAGCTCCATCCTTCTCCCCCCACTGTCCTGAGGGCCAGCAGCTACCTCTGCCCACCCCTCCTGCTTTCAAGCCTTCCTCATCTTGGAAGGAACCAGGTCTCCCTGCAACACACACAATGAAGCCCCATTCAGCCACACTCGAGTGTCCTCTGAGCTTCCACAACCTGCAATCCTGAGCCTCCTGGGGCTACTCTCTCACAAGTTGCTCTCCTGTGCTCTGTGGTTTCAAGCTGTCCCCTTGCCCTCACAAGTCCTTAATCTCCTAATCTGACAACACGAATCTCTCTCATGGCAGTAAAATGTTGTACTTTGAAGTCAGATTGAAATGAATTCCAATCCACTTAGTTCCTTGACTTTTCTGAGCCTCCGTTTTCTCATTGGTAAATGGAGTCTCATCAAAACAGATAACACAGGCTGAAGTGAGGCTGAAGTGAGAACACAGGCAGCTTTCCCACCGGGACACTGTCCCCTCCTGTGCTGGGTTGTAGATCTCCCTTCTTCAATTGGCTCCTGCATGGGTCAAACGGGCCCCTGATTTTTTTTTTTTTAATATATATATTTCTTAGTTATGTATGGACTCAATGCCTTTATTTGTTTTCATGTGGTGCTAGGATTGAGGCAAGTGCTCTACCACTGAGCCACGACCCCAGCCCCAATGGGCTCCTGACTTATAGCAGGTCAGGTGTGACCTCCTTCTCCTCCCAGGGCCTGGCTCCAGCCAATAAGACAGGAAGTTGGGGATTGAGAGAGTAGTGGGCCCTGGCCCTTGAGCTTCCCTGCTCCACAGACACCATCCTGGGCCTGGAGGAAGTACGCCTAGTGCCATCCATTAGGAACCAGAAGGGCGCGGTGTGGAGCGAGACTTCTGTCCTCTTCCCTGCTTGGGAGGTGGAGATGCAGATGAGGGTGACTGGGCCCGGGCACCGGGGAGCCCAGGGCATGGTGAGTAGCCACCACCCAGGCCTAACAGAGTGGGTGAGTCAGGGAGGAGGGGGATGAGCCCTGGGTTCCAGTGTTCTTCAGAGACCCTGAGCTGAGGGTCTGGGGACCTGCAGGCTGTATGGTATACCCAGAACAGGGGCCAAGTTGGCTCTGTCTTTGGGGGGCTGGCCTCATGGGACGGCATCGGGATCTTCTTTGACTCCTCGGCCGAGGATACCCAGGTGAGTAGCGCTCTCCTGCCTGCCCATTCCCTTGCCCTCCTTCCTGTGCCCAGGGCTCAGGCTGATTGTCACTCCCATGCAGGACAGCCCTGCAATCCGTGTGGTGGCCAGCGATGGGTACGTCCCTTCTGAGCAGCTTGGGTAAGGGTCTGTGGGGACTGACCTGCCCCTACCCTGGGCTGTGAGGGCTCAGCCCTTGCCCTAGGGAGCCCCCCCCCGCCCCCGCTAGAGCTGCCACCATGCTGGCTCTCTCACTCTGAGCCCACAGCTGCCTCCTGGGACACCTCTCACTGGGTGTCAGCTGTGCCTGCAGCAGCCCCAGAACCAGAATACTTGCTCTTCCTGGGAACTGCCCCACGGAGTTCTCAAGTAATTCAACCCAACAGTCCTAAGTGAAATTCCTAGTCCCCAATCCCCTTGTTAAGTGGGGATTGTTAAGTGAGGACACAGAGGCCCAGAGAGGTGAAATGACTTACTGAGGTCACACAGCTGTGTGCAGAGCTGAGACTGGAGTCCTGACTTGCCCATGGAGGGTCCACGCCCTTCCCTGAACCAGTTGAGTCTTCCCTTTCTCCAGGATGACGTGGCTTGCTGACCTCCGTGGCCCAGCTGCTCCTCAGTGGCTGGGCCGGTTTGTCGGTGTCTCTTAGCAAACATCCCTCCACTCATAACAATTAGAATAATTGCTAACATTTGTGGAGCTGAGTTTACTGTACAGGCACAGTGCCCAAGCACTTGACATTCATTCTTAGTTACCTTCATAGCCCGTTGTTATGAGGTAATGGCAATTATCCTCTTCATTTTAAATACAGGAATGCCCCAGGCATGGGGAGGTGAGGTAACTTGCCCAAGGTCACATAGCTAGGAGTGCAGACTCAGGGAGCTGCTCTGGACCTGCTTCTCCCTGGCTCTGTGCTGCTTCCCTCTCCCATGAAGGTGACAATGACATGCTCTGGTGTGAGCTGCCACAGTGTCTGTGCACCCATGTGCCCAGAGGAACTCAGGGCTCATCACTCTTCTCCTAACTCTCCAGAGCCTGTCACCCCTGTTGGGAAATGAACTGGTCATATTGTCCTTGGCTATTAGGACATGTGCCAAGCTATCAGTCCCGCTCGGTCCAAGCCTTGGTAGAAGAGAGGAAAAAGAAGCATCCCCAGAGTCATGGGGAGACTTGGAGTTTAAAGGAGAAAGGGACAGTGAGATGAGGTGGTGGGGTGCAAGTGACAGAAACCTTCTGGGGAAAGGCCACAGGGAGGCCCCAGCCTCCTCTGTAAACTCCAAGTCCCAATATTCTGCCAGGTGAAGCCTGCTTTCCTATCCCTCTTTCTTATGCTAAGGAGGCAGAGTACAGCAAGGGAGACTCAAGTCTCATACCAGGCCACCCCACTGGGAAGGGGGTGTCACCACAAGCCTCAGCAGAGTGACTACTGGAGTGCCCTCATTGGCTGGGCCTAGGGTCTTATGTGGCCTGGCTAGATTCCAGCTCTCACAGGGATGGAGCAAGTCACCAGGTACTGGGCTCCTGTCACCGAGATTTCCGGAACCGGCCATATCCCATCAGAACACGGATCACCTACTGGAGGCAGAGGCTGCGTGTGAGTCACCCTCCTGCTTCTAGGGGTCCTTTGCTGGCAGATTACAGAGCTCCAAGCTACACAGTTGCTGTGGGGGGTGCCCATGGCCCCAACAGACTCATGTCTGTGATACCACAAAGGGTATCAGAGACAAAGGGTCCCTCCACTCATGTGGGATTCCTGGCACATCCCATGTGGGATCCTCCACCTGCATACAGAATCCTAGCAGTCACCCAGAGAACAAGCATATAGTGTTCACATGAAACCAGAGTGCAGGTCACCTTCATGTCATTTAGATCCCAAGCACTTGGCTGTCTGTCCTTCTTCAGGACCAGGGAAGCCAGAGAGTCAGAGGTGGGGATGATCCCCCACTGCTGGGTAAGGCGACAAGAAGAAGCTCATGCCCTCTATGCCCTTCAGGTGTCTTTGAGCACTGGTCTCACTCCCAGTGACCCAGATGAGGTCTGTGTCGATGTGGGGTCCGTGCTTTTGGCTCCTGGAGGTTTCTTTGGGGTCTCAGCAGCCACCAGCACCCTGGCAGGTGAGGACCTCTCTGGGCAGGTAAGCGCCGAGGCGCAGTGTTCGTTTTTTTGTGGGTAGTGCTGGGGTGGAGCCCAGGGCCTTGTTGTGCTAGGGAAGTGCTCTGCCACAAGTGCTCTGCCACTGAGCCCCGGCTCTCGCCTAGGGACCCTGTGAAATGACTCATCCTTAGCATCCCTTCTAAAGAGCTCTGTGTGTGGGGTCAACCACTTCCTCACCATGTGACCTGAGCAAGTCACGAGCCCTTTCTGGGTCTCTATTACCATCTGGAGAAGGTCACATCTGCCTTGCAGGGTTACTGAAACTCTCAAATGTGATAAAACGTGAGAAGTTTTATTCCAGTATTGCCCCTCCCCCATGCAATGCGGCAGGTGAAAGGAGGATAGTGGCTACAGGGGACATTTAGGGAAATAGAGCAGAGGGAGGTGATGCAGGGGGGAGCCCATGAGGGGTCTGCAGCTGGAAAGCAGGCTGGGATTAGAGCATGGCAGTCCTTGAATGGCAGGACTTTGGTCTTTATTTTATTATTTTATTTTGGTACCGGATTGAACCCAGGGGTGCTTAACCCCTGAGCCACACCCCCAGCCCTTTTTTGAATTTTATTAAGAGACAGGGTCTTGCTAAGTTGCTTAGGGCCTTGCTAAGTTGCTGAGACTGGCTTTGAGCTCAGGACCCTCCTGCCTCAGCCTCCCAAGATGCTGGGATTGTAGGTGTGCACCACCGCACCCAGTAGGACTTTGGTCTTTAGACTGGGCACTGGGGAGCCCTGGAAGGTTTCTGAGGGGGAGAGTGATATGATCCAAGCCATGGTGGGGAAGCAGCCTCTGCAGGATGCTGTTGCCAAAAGCAACTGTGCTCTGGGATGGGAGGGTGTCCCTTGGCCTGCTGCCATGGCTCCAGCCCTGGATGCTTTGTGATTGTCCAGTATTCCCACGCACAGGGGCCTAGCTGCGTGTGTGGTTCACCCTCACAGCCCACACATCTGCTTCCCTGGCTCTCACACCTTTTTTATGAAGTGAGCAAGACAAATGCCCAAAGTCACCCCGACCTCTTGCCTTCCTGGGATATAATGGAGCCTGGGGGCAGAGTGAGGTCTGGATGAGCGGGGTGCTGGATGGAGGGATCTTATGTCCCCTTCATCTATCCCCCTTCCAGATGACCATGATGTCCTGTCGTTCCTGACTTTCAGCCTGAACGAGCCGGGTCCAGAGGTGATACCAGCCCTGGCCTGCCTCCGAGAGGCAGCCCAGGGACCCACCCCTCCCCAGATGCTTTTGCCAGTCTCATCGTGTCCTTGGACTCACCATTTCAGCCCTTATCCTCACCTGTTCTCTTAATTCTGCTCAGGCCCCAAGCCTTGTGCTTGGCAGTGCTGGGGGTCAGGCTCTGTCTCCAGGCCTCCCAGGCTGGTGGATGGAGTCAGGCTATGATATGAGAGAGCTCAGAGTGATCTGTGCTGGCTATCAAAAGGCACAGGGGGCACTGGGGTTGAGGCTCAGTGGTAGAGTGCTCACCTAGCGCATGTGAGGCACTGGGTTCCATCCTCAGCACACAGAAAAATAAAAAATAAATAAAATAAAGCTATGGAAAAAAGTTTAGTTAAAAAAAAAAAAGGCACCAGGGCTGTGGCAAGCACAAAGGAGGGGTCTGAACTGCCTGAGGGTCAGGGAAGGCTGCCTGGAGGAGGGAGCTTAAAGGAACCCTACATACACAGGCCTGAGGCTGCAGCAGGGAGGGAAGAGTGTGGGGTGTGGGGCTGGAGGTGGAGGCAGAGCTCAGAGGGCTAGAAAGAGCTGGCGAGGCTGAGCGAAGCCCCATCCCCAGGGTGGGGTGAATAGTTGGTCAGGGAGGGAAGCTGGGCTCATGCGGGATCCTGTGGGAAGGCTCTTTCCACTTTTGGCTCTCCCATAGGTTGAGGCTTGATCTCTGTCTTCCTCCTCCAGGTTCCCCCTCAGCCCTTCCTGGAGATGGAGCAGCTTCGTCTGGCAAGGCAGCTGGAAGGGCTGCAAGCCAAGCTGGCCCTGGGCAGCAGGGTGGTTATAATTCCACAGCCAAACTCAAAAGCCCGGGAAGAGGGTAGAGACCCAGGGAGTGGGCAGGAGGGGAAGTGGCCCATTTGAGTATCATGATCCTATGTCCTTAGAATCAGGAGTCCTTCAACCAGTGGGGAAATGGAGGTCTAAGGAAGCCATATCTAAGCCAAACGTGGACCCAGGTGTCCTGTCCTATCCTCTCCACCCAGAAATTCTCCAAGGAAGCAGCCATACCATTTGATGCTCCTCAAGTCCCTGAAGGTAGGGTCTTTTGCCCTATACCAATGGCCACCCACCCAGCTCTGCCCCATCCCCAGGGGAAAGGCTCTTTGACCTGGAGGAGACATTGGGCAGACACAACAAGATCCTGCAGGACCTCCAGGCTCTCTCTGAGCAGTTGGCCCAGGCAGAGATGCAATGGAAGAAGCAGCTGGGGTTACTAGGCCAGGCAAGGCCTGATGGAGCCTGGGTGAGTAGCCCCTTGGGCATCCAAGTCTCCACCTGTGGTCCTAAAAGAGGAAAAGAGTTATAGTCAGGAACTAGTCTCCCCAAAAGTCTGGAGTGCAAAGAGGGCAGAGGTTAAAGACTGCAGGTCACAGGATGGGGCAGGCCAGCATTCACGACAAGCAAAAGCTCCAGAGCCACACAGCTGGGGCTGGGGAGAGGAGATGCCAGGAATTTGGATCCGGGTCTGTAGATGAATGACAGAAATAGACTAGGTGCTAATTTGCATGTAGCTTCACAAGTGACTTGCCTGTGGCTTGCTTAATGCTCAGTTGCATCAGAATCCTCCTTTCATCTTCACTGTCCCTCCAAGTTCCACCCCCAGGGAGTCATGTCCCAGGGCACTGCCCAGTTTTGGGGGTTGAGAGCTAAACCCAGCCAACGCTTAGGTGCTTAGGTGCCTAGCAGAGGAGACCAGCAGCACTTTCAGGCTTTGCTGGGTTCTGAAGGGTCAAGATTTTAATCTTTTGTCCTCAGACCAGAGCAGATTAGGCTGGGCTGCTGGAGTGGGACAGAGGGGTGGGGGTTTACACCCTAGGGCCAGTTCTCTCTGATCCTACCTTCAGTTCCTGAGAGATTCCATTCATCCCCCAAAAGGGCAGCCACCTCTCTAGGTCACTCTGCAGGACAGGGAACCAAGCCCTGGCTGTTAACTAGCACTGGCCTCCAGCTCGGGTCATGCCCTGGGAGAAGGGAAGGGAGAGAGGACTGGGCTGAACTTCAGGGAGGAAGAACCATTTTTAGAAATGGAAAGAGCTTGGGCTGGGATTGTGGCTCAGTGATAGAGTGCTTGCCTAGCACAGGCAGGCGGGATCCGGGTTCGATCCTCAGCACCGCATAAAAAAAAAAGGCATTGTGTTAAAAAAAAAGAAATTGGAAGAGCTTGATAAGGTCTAGGGGTGACCCTGTTGGTGGGAACAAGCCCCTTTAGGGAGAAGGGGCTTGAGATCAGGAGGGAAGATTTCAGAAGCCCAGGTGAACAGGAGTCAGGTAAACTCTACCTGCCCCAAATGAGAAGGGCCCTGGTAAACTGGTAAGGCCTCTGGAAGGAGGGGGGGCTGCAGTGTCTCCGGGGAAGGTGGGCTTTGAGGGGAGGACAGCTGGGTCCTGGACCATAGATAAAAGGCTGGCCCTCCGCAGGATTCTGCCAAGATCAGCACCCTGCTCTATGGACAGCAGACTTTGCTCCAGGCCCTGCAAGAGATGAGGTAAGGTGGAGTAAGGGAGGAGCTGGAAGAGGGAAGAGAAGCCTCTCTACAACTTTGTCTGTCTGCCTGCAGCTCCTCTCTGGGCCCTTCCTTCCTTTCATTATTTCCTGAACAACCAGCACAGAGTTTGGCAATGAGAGGGCCTGGGGCTGAAGTTATGTTAGCTGAGTTGACCTCAATTTAACTGAATGAAGTTTCAAGTTTTGAAAGTCCTAGTTTAAAAGCAACTATCCCTAGGAGAAGCCCATCATGAAGGACGCCTTGAGACATTCCCACCCCAGCGAGGGTTAGTAACTCTGAGCTTTCCTCCAGTGATAGTTTATGGAAGGAATGAATGTTTTGATGAACATTCTTGGAAGGAGCACAACCAAGATCAGACCAGCTGGAGACAATCCCTGAATTCATTTTTGCCCTTCTCCAGCCTGCTAGCATCCTACTCTGGAGCACTCAGGCCTGTGGAGCTACCCATAGACTCCTAAGAGTGGGGAGATCACCTGGATGCCATGGGTGCTCTCACCCCACATCCAGACACCTGGGGGGTGTATAGGGGAAGAGGGAAGAAGCTAAATTCCCTGGGGTCTGTAGGTGAAAGAAAGAGCCCAAGGAGCCTCAGGTTGAGAAAGACAGATTTAGGGAGAACTTGTCTGAGCTAGAGCTGGCTCAAGATCTAAGGAAAAGGTTTGGAGTAAAAAGACCAGTCCCCAAGAAAAGCCCCTATGAATGGTGTCTGTTCCCCACCTATTCACTACCCTGGGGATTGTGGGCAATGATTAGTTAATTTGGGTACAACCCGAAGGGGTAATGAGTAATTTCCTTGGTTTTCACTCCACACACACACCAGCAATGCAGCTGCTCACATGGCCTCAGGAGCCCAGGTCTTCTACCTGCCTGTGGGCACTGAACACCATTTCTTAGAGCTGGACCAGATCCTGAGCCTCCTGCATAAGAGTCTTCGGGACCCAGCGGTAAGGGAGAAGTAGTGGGTAGCATGGGGGCCCCAGCCCTGAGGTCCAGGCTCTGTCACCCTTCTTCCAACTCAACCACCAGAAGGGAAATGGGGTGGGCTGTGCCCAAGATCATTCAGAGTTTTATGGTAGAGGGGCTCTTTTCTGTGCCCTTGTACCTTCTTGCTCTTTCCCTCACCCTCACCCTCATCCTGTCTTTGTTTTCCACTTCTGTCTCTCTCATCTCTTAAGCCCTTGGCCTCCTGATGATCTCAGGATCTAGGTCTTCCCAGCTTTTCTCACAGATGGAGCCATCAGAGCTGGGGTGGGGGAGGAAATGCATGCTGCCCCTCCTCCAGGTTCCCCAGATGAGAGCCAGCATGCCCCAAACCTGGAGAGATAAACAGGGCTCAAGTATGGCACAGATTCCAGGTACCCCCCCCCTCCTTCTGTGTTAGAAGCTGATCAAGATCTCAGACTTTCCCCTTTCAGAAAGCAGCAGTCAAGTCCCCCCGCCCATCTGGATGGCCCCCAGGAGCCTCCACATGTCTACGGCCTGGCATCTTCCTGTTCTTCCTCCTTATCCAGACTTTTGGCTTTTTCTGCTATGTGAATCTTAGGTGGGTCTTCCACGAGCAGCACTTCCCACCCTACTCAACATCACTTGGTTCTGGGTTACAGCTATTCAATTTGCAAGAGGGACCCTGAGGCCCAGAAGGGAGCTGCCCAGTCCTCCAGATGGCAAGGGGCAGAGCACAGGCTCAAACCCATACTTTCATCGGGCACAGACCACCTGCTTAACCCCCAGCCCCATCTGGTCCTGGTCCTCCTAGCAACCAATAGTCACACCCTAGATGATCAGCACTATAAATGGCAGGAAGCTCAGGGACTTCAGGAAGTACAGGAGAAGGCACTTGATAGAGCTTGTGAAGATCAGGGATCTGGTCTGAAAAGGACATTTGATAAGGGTCATTAAAGTGACTAGGAGTTTCCCAGCATGACAGGATGGGTAAAGGCATGGATGCATAGAGAACAGCATGGGGAAAGGCATGGGGAAATGAAAAAAGCATAATATTTTGGAGAAAAAAATGATAATTCAGTACTATTAGTGAAAAGAACAGGACCAGTTTGTGAAATTGATAATTGAAAAGGCAGGGGATGTCACTATTTCTGCTTGATGGGTGTTTGCTGAATGGATGAGCGCTGGTCCGACTCTTTTCACCAAAAGTACTGAATTATCATTTTTTTCTCATTTAGAGATGCAGATATGCTGAGGGCCCTGGACAAGGGACTGACAGTCCTTGCTGGGGAATCTCAAAACAAGAATTAGTGTGGGCTTGGATGATCCCAGGGAAGGAATAAAGTGTGCTGAGCTTTAAAAAGCACAAAGTGGAAACAATCACAGGCTTCCTGGTGTACAGAAGGGCAGTGGTAGCAATAAACCACCCAGATGGTCCTTAAATGCCAAGGGGAAATATGCACTTCATGTGACATGCTAAGGGAGCCATAGAAGATCCCAGAGCAAGAAAGGCTGTGGTGCAGTGAATGGAGGAAGGCAACTGTGAGTCTTGGTTTCAAAAGCCCAGAAGAGGCTGGGTGCAGTGGTGTACACCTGTAATCCCCACAACTCGGGAGGCTGAAGCAGGGGGACCACAGGTTCAAAGCCAGCCTCAGCAACTTAGCAAGGCCCTAATAAATTTAGCAAGACCCTGTCTCAAAATAAATAATAATAATAATAATAATAATAATAATAATAATAATAATAATAATAAAGGGGTTGGGGATGTGGCTCCATCACTGGTCCAAAAAACAAAAACAAAAGCCTAGAAAGGAAAAAGTCAAGCAACCATCTTGTCTCTGCAGCAGGCAGGAGCTGGACAAGAGGCTTCGGGAGTGTTTGTCCACAGGAAACCTTCCTTTGGGTGCTGTGCCACACATCCCTAGGGTGCTGGGAACCCTGAGGAGGCAGCCCCTCTCCCCCAGCTTGCATGCCTGACCCACTTCAAAGCCACTTCTCTCTGGGAAGCAGGTGGCTTCTGTGGGTGGGGAAGAGGACTTTGTTAGGATCCTCTTCCTCTTGGTGCCCAGCTATTGCCCACACCTTAGCTTTTGGTGAGCCCCACCTTATTAAAGGTGAATTCCCTCTTCTGCGTGTGTTGATATGCTCCTTTATCTCCAAGTCTAATCTCTCTGATGGCTTCCACCGTTTTGGGTAGGTAACCTGGAGTGGGCTCCTAGCAAGTAAGCAGGCCAAGGGCTCACTTACCTGCCCAAAGACCAGATACCCCACAGCCCTTCCCTCTTGACCAGGGAAGGAGAGGGAGTAACAACTGCATATAATTCCATCCCCAATTCACCCAGAACAAGGAGCGGTGTCTCCCAGTGCCCCTCCTGGCCCAGCCCTGCTAGCATTACCAAACAATCATCTCCCTCTTCAATCCCTGCAGCTCGCGGACAGCAGGGCAGGCACGTGACTGAGGAACCCATGAATCCATAACTGGGATTCCCGCTAACGCTTTCGGGTCTTCCTTCCCAGTCCCAAGCTCCAGGGCCAGCAGGTTGCGGGGCTGGGGGGATTGGAGGAAAGAAGGATGGGGTGAGGTTTTGCCCCTTGCTGCTGCTTGGATCTCCCAGCTGAAATCCTGACTATCAGTGACCCAGGAGGGGAGTAGGTTGAACGAGGTTAGGAAGCAGGGTACGCATCAGCGCAACCCCTGTCCCCGGAGGAGCGACCCCATCACCGCAGGCCCTAATCCGCTGTCAGCAGTGGCCAGCAGAGCTTGGCGTTGAAGGAGGCACGTGGGAGAGGCGGGAGTGAGGAGCGGGCACGTGGTCCAGCCTTCTCAGCCCCGTGCATGCCCCCCGCCCCCCGTGAGGAGGGGTTTGGGAAGGTAGGGGCGGGCCCGGGCGGGGGCGGGCGACAGGCGGCGCAAAGCGTGGGGCGAGGGCTAGCGGCGGGAGCTGTCCGCGGGACCTGGTGCTGAAGTGAGCGCGGACGTGCCGGAGCCCGGTGTGTGGTACCAGGCGCCTGGTGCCCCGGCCGGCGAAGACCATGGCGTTCATGGTGAAGACCATGGTGGGTGGCCAGCTGAAGAACCTCACCGGGAGCCTGGGGGGCGGCGAGGACAAGGGGGACGGGGACAAGTCCGCAGCGGAAGCGCAGGGCATGAGCCGAGAGGAGTACGAGGAGTATCAGAAGCAACTGGTGGAAGAGAAGTGAGTGGGATCCCTTCCCGGTTCCAGCGACCCCCACACATACACACAGCCGCTGTGCCCACCCTTGGGCCAATCTGGGGGCCCAACTTTCCTCCCCTGCCTTCCTACATGTGATAAGAGCCTGGGAGATGCCTTCTAGGCTACTCCCACAGCCACTGCTTCTCAAACCCAGGACCCTGCTCCAGCTTCTGTACTCTGGCCCAGAGGGCATAGGGGGAGGGGTGATCGGTGCCTGGGACAGGGAGCTGGGTGCACGTGCATTTCTGACGAAGCAAATAATCCCTTAATCCGATCTGGTCCTAGCCGCCTGTGTCTTCCAACTGGGGCTCCTTTGAGCCAGAAGCTCTGAGAAAAGCAGCACAGCAGAGGTGGTGGTGGGGGTGCTCAGAGTCGCGGAGACAGATCCTGAGATGGGAGCACCCGTGGATATTGAGCCTATTGTGTTCCAGCAGTCCTGGGACACAGCGGAGGTGGGGGTGCAGTTAGGCTGCTTGGGTTCAGATCCTGGTTTTGCTTCTCATTAGCTGGGTAACTTTAGGCAAGTTACTTAACCTTTCTATGCCTCTTTTCCTCTTCTGGAAAGGGGGGATGGTCGTCATAATATATGCTTTATATATTCATGTAGATTAAATAACTTAATGCATGTAAATCATCTAGCCCAGAGCCTGGCACGTAGCAAATCTTCGTTAAATGTTACTTGTTATTTCACTTAATCCTAACAGCGTTGTGAATTACAATGTCTCATCCCCATTTTACAGACGAGAAAGGCAAGTGACTTACCTAAAGTCATACCCTAAAGTGGTAATGGAGCCACAATGGGAACTGAGATCTATTCCTAATATTTTTCCCCCTCATGACACAGTTTGTCAGGGAGGGAAAGACAGGCATGAGTCAGGAACGGCACAAATATTGGGATCTGCAGAGAGGGTTAGAAAGACTGATACCCCTGTTCAGTGGCGGGTGCAGAGTCCGCAGAGGGCACGATGATGGGGAAAAGCAACAAAGACCAATATAATCGGGTCAGGTCTGAGAGCCCTAGCTACGCACAGGCCAGCAGCTGGACCGATGCAAGTTGCTGCCAGTACTCCAGAGACCCCTTGGGGCCCTCGCTCGCAGACCCCGCCCCTTCTTTCAGTCCTTGCATTGACTCCACCCCGGTATCCTGGCAGGATGGAGCGGGACGCGCAGTTCACGCAGAGAAAAGCAGAGCGGGCCACGCTACGGACTCACTTTCGAGATAAATACCGACTGCCCAAGGTACGAGAGCTCAAGCTGTAAGAGTGGACCGCGCCCTGAGCTCTGGGCTTAGAACTCCTTGATCCACTCTGTGCGCCAGAGCTCTCAGCCCGTGAGACTCACAGGGTGCTTGGTTGAATCTTTTTCATTCATTTGTTCATTCACTCAGTTAACCAGCGCTGCCAAGAGTGAGGGCTTGGTGTTTAGGGGAAACCCAATCATCCAGAGACTGACAGGTTTGTGTCCCCAACCCTCCACCCCAATCAGGCCTGGCCTCAGAAGGAACAAAGGAGACAGAAAGTAGATTTTACCACAGGAATGAGTACTCTCAGGCCTTCTGAGCATGCATGGAGGTTAGGCTGAAGAAGAGAAGGCCAGTGACTGATGTAAGAGGTACTTGGCCATGTTCTCACCTAATAACCTCAATAATGCTGCCAAGTAGCTATCACCCACATCTACAAATAAGAAAACTAAGTCTCAGAGAGATTAAAGGACTTGGCTAAGGTCATATAGCCAGTGAGAGATGGAGCTCATGCCTGTGAATACTGAGCCTGTGCTCAATTCAGGCCCTAAGGCTGTTTTCCTGGCATGGGGGTCTGCCTGCAGAGAGCAAAGTACCTCCAAGCAGCCAAGGTGTATTTATCAGGAGGACCCCTGTGCTCCTGTAAGCACTCAGCACCATAAGCATGCAAGTATGTTACTTCTGTAACCTAAGAAAGCAACCCAGGTATAAGCCACTTCCAGGATATCACCCTAGTGTGCCTGGAATAGAGCTAGACTGAAGGGCAAATAGAGGTAAAGTGCTATAACACTTCTGACCTTGATCTTCCACTTGAATTGAAAGATCAGTGAACATTACCTTCACTCATTCAATAAATGTTTACTGAGCCCCTGGCTGCCTCTGACTTCCCACAGAGCACCAGTCTTTTGGAAGTCTCTCAAAGGGAAAACCAATCCAAAAAGACTGCCTGGCTGCAAACCCAGCTAGGAATGGAGTCATTACTCAAATGCTTGCACTGAGTATCTAAGAGACACAACTCCTGCTATTAGGGAACTCTGAGTCTACTAGAAGAGGCAAGACTTGGATGTGACTGAGTAGGACACATGGTCCCAATGCCTCCCACAGGGACAAAGAAGTGTACTAGCCATGGGCAGGTGCTGTGAAAAGACAGCATAGATGTTGGAATCAGTGACATAGATTTGAGTCTAGCTCCCCTGTTTCCTAGCTGTGTGGCCTTGGGCAAGTTACTTACTTAAATTATCTGAACCTCTATTTCCTATTTGTAAAGTGGAGACAAGAGGAACTACCTCCTAGATACTTTTTTATTGTGAGAATTAAAAGCACCCCAGCTCAACATTAGCCATATAACAGGAGTTATTAAATGGTACCTATCGCTATTATTGGTTATGTCCTTTGGTGGTGTTAACAATAGTCAGTACATGACAGTTGATTTTAACAGTGTGACTCCTAGGCATTTTCATTTTCTCTTTACTCAGTATGCTAAGTCCTTCAGTGTCTCAGAGTGAAGTAAGGCAGTATGAAAGTGCAAGGCCTCCAGGTCCATGCATCAAATGCTTGACCCTGGGATGTTATGGGTAGAGGAAGAGCTCACTAGAACACGGGGCTCAAGAATCTAGGGACCTGAGCTGGGGGCGATGGTGCACACCTATAATCCCAGTGGTTTGGGAGGCTGAGGAAGGAGGGTTGCAAGTTCAAAATCAACCTCTGCAACTTAGTGAGGCCCTAAGCAACTTAATGAGAACCTGTCTCAAAAAAAAAAAAAAAAAAAAAAAGGTGGGGGGAGGGCTGAGGCTATGGCTCAAGGACTGGAACCCAGTCCAGGTTTCTTTCCTGATACTTCAACTCTGAGTCCTCACAGACCTGCACCTCCACCCTGCCCCCTCTTGCCTTCAGAACGAGACAGATGAGAGCCAGATCCAGATGGCAGGTGGAGATGTGGAGCTACCCCGGGAGCTGGCCAAGATGATTGAGGAGGACACAGAAGAGGAGGAGGAGAAGGCCTCAGTCCTCGGGCAGCTGAGCAGCCTCCCAGGCTTGGACCTCGGCTCACTTAAGGACAAGGCCCAGACCACACTGGGGGACCTCAAGCAATCAGCTGAGAAGTGCTACATCATGTGATCACTTCCCCTGGGTTTGCCCATTGGGATGGCCAGAGGGCTGGTCCACATAAGGGCTAAGAGTGTGTCTCAGTTTCCAGGGATCTATATCCCATTTTGGGCTTTATTTCCCTTGCCCTAATCTAGCCTCAGAACCCTTCTCATCCTTGCCCCAAACCTGACTTCTAGTGCCTCCCTTCCCACTGGGAGCAAAGTTTCCATTCCTTTTTCTATCCTTTAGGACCCATCCCCCTTCTCAGCCTGGGGAGGCCACCCAAGATTATAGATATATGTCCATCCCTCTCTGGCCCCCAAGTTCCTGCACACAGGAGCATTCACAAAGGGACACAATGACCCTGCCATGTTGGCCACAGATAACCCTGGCACACAAAGTCACACATCCCCTGGGTTCCTAGCCCCACCAGCCACCACCCCTCAGATGCTCTCAGAGGAGGGCTATAGGAGATGCCCTAGCAGACAGGAGGCCTGCATTCCAATCTCCATCTTTATTGTCCTTGAAGGCCACTGCTCTTTCAGGGCCTATTTCAACATCTGGAAAATGGGAACAGACTGGATGA